ACCTGATTCTCAGATTTCTCTGCCATTTTTAGCAGTAACTTTCTGTGTCTAATAGATCCCCCCTCCTCTCACAGTTTGCCATTTAGCTGCTGGTCAACAGTTCTTAGCTTTGAAAGAAAAGCAGTTTTTCTTCTATGGTATCATAAGTGATCTCCTAATTTAAGTGTCTTCATAGTTGAAGTTTTCTCCCAATTTTTTTCAAGTTTGGTTTTTTTTTTTTTTCATCCACAGAAGCATCTTTTCTACTGGGAAGGACAATGTTGTAGTTTAATATCTTTGAGGCTGAGAAGTTTAATTATTCACTTAGGGATTTTCCAGGGTCCCTCTGCCTTCTACCACACAGATAGTTAGGTGGGTGGCAGATGATGGAGTTCAAGGTACCACACCTGTAGCTACTACATGTTTTTATTTGCTTTGGCAGCTCCTAGCACCAACAGCCACAGTTTAGGGCTTCTGGAAGCAGACATAGGGCTGGGTCACCACGTTTGTTTCAGAGTTCTTTCAGATTAACAGCTGTAGGAAAAGGGGGAAGAAACTAATTTGTTTAGTAGAGAATACAGAGACCTAACTCATCTTCTATAAAGTTGGAGCCTACTCTGAGGAAAATTCTGGATTGATATGATTGTTAGTGCATTACCTGGGTTAAAATAAAAATATCTTGGGCTCAGCATCTCCATGCAGATCATTTAATAGTTGTAAATAACTCAGAGATGAGTATCTGGAGGTGATTGACAGCTAAGAGGTTTACCTGTCACTGTGCAGTTGTTTTTTATTTAAAGAGGAAGGATTTGTATTATTATCATAGTTACCACACTAGGAGACATTGACAGAACAAGTAGAAAACAGAATAAATAAGGATATGGCTATTGAGAATGACAGTCTTACCATTATGGACAAAACTGCTATCAATAGAAGCACTGCAAGTAAAAAGTGCAGAGTAAACATATTGCCACTGCCTACGGATACTCACTCGTATTGATTAACTCAGAGTTTAAATATTTGGCAATGAGACACTATCTATCTATCTATCTATCTATCTATCTATCTATCTATCTATCTATTATGTATACAATATTCTGTCTGTATGTGTGCCTGCAGGACAGAAGAGGGCACCAGACCTCATTACAGATGGTTGTGAGCCATCATGTGGTTGCTGGGAATTGAACTCAGGACCTTTGGAAGAGTAGGCGATGCTCTTAACCGCTGAGCCATCTCCCCAGCCCCAAGAGACACTTTCTTACAATTTTTAAAACAGGCTTTCAAATACAAACTCCACTGCAAATGTGGATTCCTATAGACTTCATAGAACCGAAATTGTCAAGTGTATTTTGTTGGAGGACACTGGAATATATTAGAAACGAAAGCATCTCCATATGATAACACGTCAGTCATGAGCTGTTTAGCAGCCAAAAGATCAAAGTATGGGATACATAGCAATTAGAAGACATATTTTGTGCTTAGTATAATGAAGATATCCCAAGTTCTAGTATTCATCTTAAACCATTCTTGGAAAAATTTCAGCCGTAAGTGCAAATGTTTGTTAGACTAAAATGTAGTTTGATAAGGCATTCATTTCAAGTGGCTAAGGAGAAAAGGAAATTAAACTTCATTTTAGTGATGATAATATTGTGCTTATGTTAAATGTAGCCCTTGTCTTGTGAAGATATGTCCTGAAATCTTTATGGGCAAGCAGTAGAATTTTTTTTTGATTTTTAAAAATGTAACTCACAGGGAATGGGAATAACAGTTTTGATGGATATGTGTATAGGGAAATATATAAACACAAGATGGGGCCATGTTTAAATTTATTGGTGGCAACATGAGGCCTAAAAAGTTCTAAGAAACTTTTCCATAACAAAAGTTAAAAAATATATATACACATAAAACTAATTCTTAAATTCTAATCAGGCAAAAATATTAATAGGTAAGAAACTGACAAATTATGAATAAGTAGATGAATTATATGGCTAGGTAATAGGCAATACAATTTCTTTTTGAAGTAACATATTTTAAAATAGATCAGACTGTAAATTAAAACACTGGGTCAGAGACTAGTCATAATTCACTTTTCCTGGAACAAACTAGGGACTTTAATAAGCAGTTAATGGCAGATTGTATTTTGCTTGTAAAATATGGTCATAGCCTAGAAAAGTATAATATTAGTGTTTGCCCTGGAAATCGCACCCGAGGCTGCTCAGAAGTGCATGTCAGGGGCCTGTGGTCCAGAGCCACGTGACAACTTTGATCAGGTGCACAGACTAATCCAACCATGCCCCCTTTAGTGGTGTGCTTCCATCTATTGCAAGATACAGTAGGAAGAGATAGGAATCTTCTTGAAACACACATGTCAAGTATGTACCTTTGCATATTTTGTCCGAAAAAAATATTTGAATTTTTGCAAAGACAAAACTCTTTCATTTTTAAATATTTCAATATAAGTCACTAAACATAGAAATAAAAAATGACTCATAATTGTAGAAGAAAGAATGAGTGTCATTCCTTAGGTTCCTCTTTTTTTTTTTTTTTTTTTTTTTTTTTTTTTT